TTTTTTTTTTCTTGATAAATCTAGCTAGAGGTTTATCACTTTAATTTTTTTTCAAAGAACCAGAACCTGGTTTTATTTATTTGTTCTACTGGGTTTTTTTTTTTTTTTTTTTTTTGCAGTTTATCATTTATTTCTGCTCTAATCTTTGTTATTTCCTTCCTTCTGCTGGTTTTAGGTTTTGTTTGTTGTGTTTTGTTTTGTTTTTATTTTTTTTGTTTCTGGTAGCTCCTTTAAGTGTGAGGTTAGATTGTTTATCTGAGGTTTTTCTTGCTTCTTGAGATGGACTTTTATTGCCATCAACTTCCCTCTTAGAATCCACTTTTGCTACATCCCAAAGATTCTGTGCTTTGATTTTCATTAGTTTCCCTGTACTTCTTAATTTCTTTTATTTCCTGGTTGACTCATTATTGCTTAGTAGCATGTTATTTGACCTTCATGTATTTGTACTCTTTCCACATTTTTTCATGTGATTGACTTCCAGTTTCATAGTGTTGTAGTCAAAATAGATATATGATATGACTATCTTCATTCAACATGTATTTTGTCAGGGCACCTGGGTGGCTCAGTCCTTTAAGCGTCTGCCTTCAACTCTGGTCATGATCCCAGGGTCCTGGGATTGAGCCTGCTTCTCTGTTTCCCCCCTGCTTGTGCTTTCTTGCTATCCCTCTCTCTCTCTTCAAATAAATAAATAAAATCTCTTTTAAAAAATAAATAAAATAACATGTATTTTGTCTGATATATTGCTACTCTGGCTTTGTTTTGACATCCATTTGCATAATAAATATTTCTCCATCCCCTTACTTTCATTCTGCAGGTGTATTTACGTCTAAAATGAGTCTCTTGTAGGTAGCATATAGATGGGTCTTGGTTTTTTATCCATTCTGTCACCCTACATCCTTTGAGTGGAACATTTAATCTATTTACACTCAAACTAATTATTGATAGATATATATTTATTGCCATTTTATTACTTGTTTTGTGGTTGTTTCTGAAGATTTTCTCTGATTCTTTCTTGTCTTTCTTTCATGGTTTGCTGGTTTTCTTTAGTAGTATATTTGGTTTTCTTGGTCTTTATTCTTTGCATATTTATTAGTGGTTTTTGATTTGTGGTTACAGTTAGGTTTGTATGTAACATCTGCATATAGCAGTCTATTAAGTTGATGGTCATTTAAGTTTGAATTCATTTTTACTCCTCCCTATGTTTTAGGTATATGGTGTCATTTTTATATCTTTTTATTGTGAGTTCTTTGATTTTTTTACAGAAATACTCATTTTTACTGATTTTGTGTTTTTTACTTTCATACTGTCATTTTTGGTCTTCTCAAGGAGTGCCTTTTAATATTTCTTGCAGGATGGTTTAGTGGTCATGAATTCCTTTAGTTTTTGTCTGGGAAACTCTTGATAGTTCCTTTTACTCTTAGTGATAGCTTTGCTGGATAGAGTATTCTTGGCTGCAGATTTTTCCCACTCAGCACTTTGAATATATCATGCCACTGCTTTCTGGCTTGGACAGTTTCTGTTGAAAAATCTGCTGATAGCTTTATGAGGTTTCCTTTGTATGTAGCTATCATCTTTTGTCTTGCTGATTTTAATATTTTTTCTTTATCACTGTATTTTGCCACTTTAATTACAATATGTCTTGGTATGGATCTACTTTTGTTGATTTTGTTGGAGGTTCTCTGTGCCTCCTGGATCTGAGTATCCATTTCCTTCCCCAGATTAGGGAAGTTTTCAGCTATCATTTCTTTAAATAAATTCTCTGCCCCCTTTTCTCACTCTTCTTCCTTTGGGACTCCTGTAATATAAATGTTACTACATTTGATGGAGTCACCCGGTTTCCTAATCGGTTCTCATTTTGCATAATTCTTTTTTTCCTTTTTTGTTCAGCTTGATTACTTTCCATTATTGTGTCTTCTAGGTTATTAATTCATTCCTCTACTCATCCAACTTGCTGTTCATTCCACCAAGTGTTTTTCTCATCTTGTTCATTGAGTACTTTATCTCTGCTGTGTTATTCCTTTTGTCTGTATTAATGATCTCACTGATGTCCTCCACTCTTGTCAAGTCCAGTGAGTATCCTTGTGATCACAGTTTTAAATTCTCCACCAGGCGGGATGTCTGCCTTTGGGCCAGGGCATGATCCTGGAGTCCCAGGATCGAGTCCCACGTTGGGCTCCCTGCATGGAACCTGCTTCTCTCTCTGCCTGTGTCTCTGCCTCTTTCTGTGTCTCTCATGAATAAATAAGTAAAATCTCTTTAAAAAATTCTCCCATCAGGCATGTAACTTATATCTGTTTGCTTAGATCTCTGGCCATTGCCTTGTCGTGTTCTTTCTACTGAGACAAATTCCTCTGTCTTCCCATTATGTCTAAGTCTCTGTGCCAGTTTCTATGTGTTAAGAAGGTCAGCAACATTTCTTGTTCTTGAGGGTAATTAATGACTTCATGAAAAAGAGATCCTATAGTGTCCTGCTCTGTAGTGTCCCCTGTTCCCCAAGGCCTCTTGCTTTCAGGAGTTGTCTCCAATGTGTGCCACTTGTACTCTGCTGTTGTGTCTTGGCTGCTTTATCTTTCAGGCCAGTTGTCTCCAGAGGCTCTCTTTTCCTTTGTGGGCAGTGTTTGGTCACTGGCCCAAATGTGGTTTGTTTTAACTAGGCGTGCTCTAATCTCTTTGTAAAATGAGACCTGCTGCCACTGCCACAGGAACTAAGGCCTCATGGTACTCCCAGGTCAAGAGAGACCATGTTTGCAAGGGTTTGAGCTGGTCTTCTGGGGGAAGGGACCCACCAAACTGGGACTGAGGCAAGTATGACCAGGAAGGGCAGTTCTTGTGGAGCACAGAGGGGGCAGGCTTAGTGTAAGCAAGTTAGGTAGCTAGTGTGGGCACTGCATTGGTTTTTGTAGGTGGCCCTATGCTTATACTGATAAATTGGGGAGGAAAATGGTGTTGGACAGTTCCTTTGTTCCCAGGTGGGCCTTTCTGTAAATGCTGCCTCTCTGGGACACACCGCAAGATGAGCAACTAACTTCCCCATTGTGTGCCCCCGGCGCTCTTCAGATTACTCTTTTCACATTGTATGTCTGTATGCTGTTTATCCTGCCTTTTTTCCAGGAGAAGCCCCAAAGTCCTCCAAACTCTCCTGAGCCATACATGCTGACCTTTAAATCTCTGGGCCTTATGTCCACTGGTTGCAAGAACTCATCAAATTTAGGCCCTCTCTGTCCAAGCCAGTTGCTGTGGTGATTTATTTTCCCCATGTGCTCCCCTGTGTGCTTTTCTAGCTCTTGCCCTTCTCTGTGACTACAGCTCCCTCATCACTACGGGGGTTTTCCAATCTGTGTCTCCGCAGTTCCTATTTTCTTTGATGGCCTCTTTCCTTTAGTTGTAGAGTTCTACCAATCTTCAGATCTATTTCTGGGGTATTTTAGGATGATTTGATAGTTATCTAGTATTCATGGGACCATCTAGCTATCTTGCTTTGTATCCAAAAAGTATACATACTGTCCTTTCTTTGTTGTTTTCTTTAGCTATGTTTATAATGGATGCTTTGAAGTTTTAGTGTGTTAAACCTGATATCTGAGCCCTTTCACAAGCAATTTCTGTTGCTTTTTATCAGTGTATGGATTTCCCTCTCCAGTTTCTTTTCCTGTTGTAATTTAAAAAAAAAAAAACAACTGAACACTTACCTTATATATTGTAATAATTCTGGATACTGATTCTCACCCCTTTTTCTCTAAGAGTTTTTTTTTTTTTGTTTACTTATGCATATGTTCAGTGAGAGCATGAGTAGGGGAAGGGCAGAAGGAGATGGAGAAACAGACTCCCCACTGAGCAGGGAGCCTGATCCCGGGTCTCCAGGATCCTGACCTGAGCCCAAGGCAGATACTTAACTGATTGAGCCACCCAGGCACTCCTCATTTGTACTGAATTCTCCCAAATGTGAAATATGTGTGTTTTTTTTCCTTAGAGCCTTAAAGATTTTTTCCTTATTTCATGATTTGAATATTGAAGTTTTTAAATGGAGGGGAAGAGTTAGATATATGTGACTAAGTAACATTCTTTTCCAGAAATTTATCATTTGTTTCTTGGCCTCTGTTACATTGCTGTCATGATTTTAATTCTCATCCTCTAATTATAAATAAACAAAAAACAAAAACCTGAGTCCCTTTCTTTGATGCTTGACTTTTGATTCCGTCCTTGGCCCTTTACTTACTATGTATGTCTTCTACAATTACTCCTATACTTCAGCCATAGATTCAGCTGTCAATATTAGGTTGATGGCTAATTCTTATCTTTCTTCATACCTCTAACTGCATATTGGATATATCCATCTGGAAGTTCTATAGAAATTTCAAATTTTGCACATTCAGATTTTCATACCTCTCCTTATTCCTCCTGCCTTATTTCTCTTCCATCCCAACTTTCTCCATGTTCCCTTTCTCACTAGGCCACACAGTCACTTGGATAGGTTCTGAGACAGTTACCTGTGAGTCATGTCTAACTCTTTCAATTCTGTCACAAACCAGTACAAATCAGTGACCACTATCTTCAGTTTCCTGTATTGTAGATGATGAATGCTTAAGTTTGCTAAGATAAAAGTCAACATTTTACAGCATATTTCTACAATGATTTGTTTTCTTTCACAGTGTAATACAAGATTAGTTAAACATGAAGACTAAATATATGATTCTTTTTTTTTTAATATTTTTTAAAATTTTTATTTATTTATGATAGTCACAGAGAGAGAGAGAGGCAGAGACACAGGGAGAGGGAGAAGCAGGCTCCATGCGCTGGGAGCCCGACGTGGGATTCGATCCCGAGTCTCCAGGATCGCGCCCTGGGCCAAAGGCAGGCGCCAAACCGCTGCGCCACCCAGGGATCCCTAAATATATGATTCTTAATGAACTGATCCCTGGATACTAGCTACATAAGTTCTTACATATTTTGACCACTGCATCTAAGTTTGATGACTTCATATTAATTAGTATTGGTTTTTACAGGAGACAGTGACATTTAAGGATGTGGCTGTGGACCTCACTCAGGAGGAATGGCAGCACATGAAACCTGCTCAGAGGAACTTGTACCGGGATGTGATGCTAGAGAACTACAGCAACCTAGTCACAGTGGGTAAGGGTAGCTTTGCAATTTTTCATGGAATTCCTTTCCATTTTTGAAGTGTATGAAGACTTTAACTTGCCAGGTGAATTTAGCCTTCCTTTTCTTCACATGATTGTATGTATTCATATTCAGGGTAAAGCCTAATTACTTTGTCTCACTTTGGAAATTCCTTTGTCCTCATCCTTCATGGGCCCTCAAGCCACTAAGACTCAGCCCAAGGTGTCGATGGTTGTCTTCAGCATTGACATCCAAGTCCTTTGCTGTTTCCTATAATAGGTTATCAAGTCACCAAACCAGATGTGATCTTCAAGTTGGAGCAGGAAGAGGAGCCATGGGTGATAGAGGAAGAAATGCTTGGGAGGCACTGTCCAGGTGAATAAGTAAAAAGCAGCTCTGAGAAAGCCACAGGACAATTGTTCATGTGGTTGATACCATTTCACATTTTCCAAGATTTTCTTAAAGGCTGTAGTGTTCTAAGGGGACAAATGGTATGAATGGATTGGATTATTATGACATTTCCAAATACTATATTGTTCCTATACTGGAACTATCTCCTTTTCCAAATTTTAAGGGGCTGGTAGTTCCATTTGATTTCAGGATGCCAACCTTCTTTAATTTGTTTAAAGCCTCACTTTCAGGATTATTGTTCCTCTGTGATCCTTAAACTCTCTTTTTCCTTTGTGATTGTAGTTTTAGTTTTATTTCCTTGTTCATTCAGTATTTCACAGATGTGTAATAATTTAAAAGTATGTTTGTTTCACACTTAGATTTTGTTTCAGTTTCTTTCCATTTTGAAAGTTAATTCCATAAATTAACTTTCATAGATTTGACATCTTTAGAATGTTGAGATTTTCTATTAAAGAATTTGCTCTGTCTTTGTTCATATCTACTTTGTATCCTTCAGAAATGCTTTCCAACTTTTCCCTTTATAGCTTTTGTATATTTCTTAAGTTTATACCTAAGTATTAGATAAGAGAAAAAAAATCAGTACTATACATTATCCCGGTGCTTTCATCACTGTGCTTTCAGTTTGTCATTGGAAAGGAATCTATAAATTCATCTTTAGTTTAAGGTAAAATTGTATTCCTGAAAAACACAAGAGAATCAACTGAAAAGGTATAACAAATAGTAAAAGAATCCAATGAGATGGCAGGATATCAAATTAACAAATAAAAATCAGTAGCTTTTATATATACGTCAACGATCAAGTGGAAGATATAAAAGAAAGATTTATCATTTATCTTTTTATATCTTGTAGATTATAGTTGTAACAAAGACAAAATTTATAGTTCTAACAATAAAGGTAAAATACTGTTTGGGGCATTAGCATGTTACAGTGTACAAAACAAAGTCCTGTCCTCATGGAATTTATAAATTCAGTGGAAACTAGAGTCCTTGAGTTTTTGCACATAAGAAAATATTTCTTACCCTTTATTATTTGGTTAATAGTTGGCTGTGTGTAAAATTCTTGAGCCGTACTTTTTTTGGTAGACAGTTCCCTGAAGACTTTAGATATTCCTCTGCTATCTCCTGGCTTTGACTATTTCATGGAGACATCTGAAGCCTGATTGGTTCTCCTCATAGATTATTTGATTTGTATCCCTTCAAGGCCCGTAGGTTTCTTTTTCCTTAAATCTTTAGACCTTTTGTGGTCTATTGATCAGTCAGTATCAGTTTTTCATTTCAACTTGTATATTCATGTTTTTTGGTTCTAATTAGCATTATTGTATAGAGCTGATGCAGATTCCTTTTACAACCATTGTCACTCATCTTTAAATGAGGTTATTTCTTGCTGGACCCACTATTTACAGAAGAGTATTGAAGGTTGTCCAGAAAAAATGCTCTGAGTAAATAGGAAGCCCTTGTCACTCTTACCAGCCTCCTTTATCATTCAAGTTTTTGTACTGAGCATTGGTTTGCCCTTCACTTTTTTCTGAATCAAAGATTATTAGTTGCATGCTTCCTCTAGCATACAGTATCTCTTCTATTCTGCTATGCGAACAGATTGCTTATATAAGAATAATGACTGTTTGCATCTTCTTATTTAGCTTTGTTTTCCCTACCATTTTGTATGGCCAGATGAAGACCATTATGTTCCTGCTACCAGTCCCAACACATCTGGATCCCACTGTTGCAAAAAATAACTAATTCATTCTGCCCATAGAGTGTGCCTCCTGTTTGGAGGAAACTCTGTTACTATTCAGCTTTCTGTCTGAGATAAGAGAGAACAGCCACATTCTCCATGTTTCTTTCCTACCTGGTCCGATCTATCCCCTGCTCTGTCTTTATTTTCTGGAGTTGGAGTTTAGCTGCCTTTTAGTTTCCCTGAAGATATATTTTCTTTTTGTTCTTCTTCATATTTGCAGAGAGAGGAGAGGAGACAGAGATGTTTAATTTGACCATATTGAAACAGGAAGTTCCTCTGCTATATTTTATCCCATGGATCACCCTTCTTGGAAATGTCTTTCTTTTTTGCTCCTCTCTAAAAGATTGTTATCTCCTTAGCACCTCTTTATTGTTTGTTTCCTGTTCCTTTAGGAAATGTCTTTTATGTGACTTCTTTTCTCAGCCCTCACTGGACATTATCCAGAGCCATTCTGAATTACATAAAGATCCTTTTTCCTTTATGTGCCTATATGACATAGGTGTGTTCCTGCCTTTTAGTCAGTATTTAACTACAGGAGTGGCAACATTTAATGTCTCTAGTGTTGTGAAACTCTTCACATCTTTGCCTTTAATTATGAGGGTTCTTACCTATTCTGGTTCTATTATTTAACTTGGAACTCAATTTCTAATAAATGCTCCCCACCACTCATAGCCATTATAGATCGACCTACATTTTTTACCTAACTTTCTACTTTATGTCTACCACAGTGATTTGGAGTCTTTAAAACATACTGGTTATATATTTGATTTCTGAGACTTAATCCACCAAAAGTAGGGCTATCTTATTCTTCATGTAATGACTCATGAATTGATTGGTATAGAGCTATATTTGGAGAGATTTTTTTTTTTCTTACTGCTTTTGCTGTTTTAAATATTTATTTTGGGTGCCTGAGAGGCTCAGTTGGTTAAGTGTCTGCCTCTTAATTTCATCTCTGGTCATGGTCTCAGGGTCCCGCATGGGGCTCACATTCAGCAAGGAGTCTGCATGGGATTCTCTCTCCCTCTGCCCCTCCCCCTGCTCATGTGCTCACTCTCTCTCAAATAAATAGGAATAAATCTTTAATAAATAAATGAAATATTTATTTCAAGACCTTCAAAGTAAATGTAGAGGATTTATTCAGGTCAGGTTAAAAAGGGCAGAGTCACATGAGATATTGTTGAAATCTTAAATTGCATAGGAAGCATTTTTTAGCAAATAAGGGAATCAGACAGAAAATACCTTAAAAATTTTAAGAGGAGGATTATAAAAGGAATAACAAGATAGAGAAAGTTTTTGGAAAAAATTTTTAAGCGACCTTGGCATTAAAGTTGTTTTCCTGTAAGATTTGTAGATTCTTTAGATTTATTTTAAAAATGAGAACAGGGGTGCCTCGGTGGCTCAGTGGTTAAGTGTCAAACTCTTGATTTTGGCTCAGGTCATGATCTCAGAGTTGTGAGGTGGAGCCCCACATTGAGCCCTTTGTTGGGCTCTGCACTAGGTGTGGAGCCTGCTTAAGATTCTCTCTCTCTCTCTCTCTCCCTCTCCCTCTCCCTCTCCCTCTCTCCCTCTGCCCCCACTTGCATGTGTGTGCACTCTTTCTAAAAATATTTTTAATATAAATAAAATAAATAAAAATGAGAAAAACATAACATTAAAAGAAAACCAAATCATAAAAGTTTGGAGAGTAAAATTAGTATGACATGTTCATGGGGCAAAACTTGAAGCATAGCCTGATTGGAAAAGGGGAGACTTTAAAGGATAAGTGAAATGGAGGTTGGGTTATCTCGTGTAGAGTCAGAGAAGTCTGAACTTTGCTAACCTTCATGCCCTCTTTTGTATTTATAAAATTTTATGGGCAATTTAGTTCAATTTTTTCCCTTTTTTATTTTTTAAATTATTTTAAGTTTTTTTTTTCTCTTTTTTTAATTACTGAAGCTGTAGTTTTGCCTTATGTATGTTGGCACTCAGATTACAATACAACGTTTGTTTATAGGCAGGGACTTAGAAGAAAACTGAATATAAAGATTAAAAAGTGTCTAATTATGTGAATTTTAAGTTACCTGGGGTTGAATCTAGAGAAACCATTATAGAGCTAATGATGTAGAGAAGAATATTATTATTTTAGATAACAGTATGTCAGCCATGAAGAAGGAACAAAAGCAAAACACAACTGAATTTGCTGATAAGGGTAGTTTTAGTGTCTAGAAATGAACATAGGATAAACTGATAGTACCTGCTATTAGAACAATGCAGTAAATCATATCTTAAACAAAGATGGCTTGCCTTGTGATCATTGGATACTTATATGCCTTGTTCTTTCTTTATGCACTTATGAGAATGACTTACAATTAGGGCACCCCGGGTGGTTCTGCGGTTTAGCGCCGCCTTCAGCCCAGGGCGTGATCCTGGAGACCTGGGATCGAGTTCCACGTCAGGCTCCCTGCATGGAGCCTGCTTCTCCCTCTGCCTGTGTCTCTGCCAGTCTCTCTCTCTCTGTGTCTCTCATGAATAAATGAATAAAATATTTAAAAAAAAGAGAGAGAGAGAATGACTGGCAATTAGATGCAAAGTTAAAGCTGTCTCCATCGTTATTTCCAGTTTGGGGCTGGATTTAGTTTGGACAGCCTAAGCTTCAAGTGTTTTTATACAGAAATAAGGGAATTAAAACTTTATAAAGATAATTTGCCTCTCGTCTGCAGAATGGGTAAGATCTAAACTTAGGATCATATTACAGTTAATCTTGGTGAAAGTAATGAAAATTTGGGTTACAATTTGCTTCTATAACCTAATACTACTATTATTATTTTCCTTTTATATTATTTCTTTCCTTTTTAATATGTATTTTTAATTTTTCTCAAAGTAATAAATGTACTTGCTTTTTAAAAACATAGAAATACAAGGCTTATGACAGTCCCTTCTTCTAACCTCACATTTTACCTCATTTAGGGAATTATTTTCATTTCAATTTACTTAGCTATTTCTTTTAGCATTGACCTTTATTTCTAAATAAATATACTTTAACAATGTTTTTCATAGTCATTTTCAAACATAGACAAAAATAGAATATAAGGAATCCTCATACTTAGCTTCAACAGTGTTCAGCATTTTGCCAGATTTGTTTATCTGTCTCCCCCAGTTTCGTTTTGTTTTAGTTTGTGGACTATTTTACATTTCATCTTTAAATACTATTGTATATATCTCTAACAAGCAAAATTTATTTAAATAA